CATCAGAATAGTGAACTGCCATGACTGTTATGTAGATCTTGCATGCATGTACAAATCACCAGCAAGTAAATATTGTGCTAGTAGCGTAGTACCTGCAACTACAAGAAGCAACCCCCAGTTGCAAGCCCATTTAATTAGAGTTACGTAAAGCTTTGATGGGAACAGTGGTAGGTCCCTAGATAATATAAAAAAAGAGGGAGTGTGGGACAACAGTTGCGCCAGAGGGGGCCCAATTAGATTTTTTTTGTCATGGGGCCCCAAAAAATTCTTGGCGCCGAGCCCTGAAGGTGTGTGTTGTGTGTTTCAGAATCTAGAAAAAACTTTGTCGGCAAATCAGTTACAGAACATGCGTGTCCTCAATTAACCGTGGCTAACACGAGATACACATACCCCTGGATGTGCATTCAATGCCTGGATTGGTCCAGTAAATCACACCACATACCAACACCCACACTTCCTCCTGGGATTATACAAGAAACGGAGGGCAGTTTGAACTCCAGTCTCCCCTGACTCCAGACTCATACACTCCTGACAGTAGTAAAAAACTTAAGACACGATTAATCTGACAGAAGAAATCAGGTCCTCTGGCTCCTCCTAGTCTCCTAATGGCATTCAGCCAAAGTAAACCATCCCAGTGGCCAACAACAAACAACCCGATTCAGAGCTTAAAATAATGATCTCCAGGTTTGCAAATACATAGCTTTTTGGAAATGAGACTCTAACAATCAAGTCGTCAAAACCCTCCAAGCAAGCAAAGTCGTTATCCTGATGACCCGGGATTGAGACTCAACAATCAACTAATCTTTCTTGGCTCTGATTTTCTGTTTTTGTTCAGGCCGGTGAATTCTTGCAAATACAAAATTAGCAGCATTAGGAGCACTAGGAGGAGCCAGAGGAACCAGATTTTTTCACAGATTATCTGTCTCATGTACTACTGTCAGGATATAATGAAAGCTTTCAGCAAATATGACACAGAGTTATATTTATAAAATGTACCTACTGCAACTTTTTTTTAAATTAATTTATTACTTTACGGCATTATGTCTGCTGTTGTTGTTAGACATGTTGCAACATTTTAAATAAAGGACTGTATGTTGAAGTACATATAATTTATTGTTTTGTTACTTTTTTTTATCATGTGGCTCAGAAGTAGAGCAGGTTGTCCACTAAACGGAAGGTTGGCGGTTCAATCCCCGGAGTGTGGCATGTAGTGTACAGCGCTTTGAGTGGTCGAAAGACTAGAAAGGTAATATATATACAGTATATACAAGTATATAAGTACAGTCCATTTACCATTTATTGAATTGGGTATTGAGAATTGTGGAATTTCAAATGTATTAGCTAGTCTCATAAGGTCGATCATAAACCAGAAAATCAAGTGAATGTGCTGCGTTTCTCTCCCGCTTCAGCAGTTGTCCACTATTTTTATATAAGACAAAAGTAATGGCCCCTTTAAATTTCTGTTTTTGTAATTGTGTTACCGCCAAAATTAGTGGGGTTAGGAATTACCAGCAAATAACAGAAACTAATTCACATTGATAGACTATGAATGAGACTGAGATCTGTTTATAACACTTGTGTGTTTTATTCCTGATGAGATAAACAGGAGCCTGGCCTTAGCTACACCAACCATAACCTTTTTATTAGAGGGCGAAACAAAAGGGTAAAGGATCTCCGTTACAATCACTGACAGTATATAATCATTGGACTGAGCTTCCTGGTCTATGAAGTGAAGTCAACGAGTACGTTTCTTAAAGCTGCATTCTTTCTCATGGCCAGAGGGCTGAAAAAAAAAGTCTGATAAAAGTGAATCTCATGGAGATTTGGCCCTACTTCTGACTTGATTTATGAGCTCAGTAAACTGTTTCCTAATGAGTTTATGGTCTCAATTTCTAGTAAGTTTCAAGTCTTCTTCCGTACAGCATGATATTCATTTAGTAAATGATGGTCCCATTTAGAGTCAAATAGAAGATAAATCAGGGTATGCTTTAGGGTGTGGCCACCTTGTGATTGACAAGTCGTTCTCAGTGAGTCCATCCAGCTCAACGCACCAAACTCAGATCAAACTTGTGAAACTAGGCAGTGCTGATCAAATATGAATCCAGATGTGTTGCCTATTTCTCACATCAAATGTTTTCAGAAACATATTTTAGTGTACTGTACTTTAGTGTACCATGTGTGACCAGGCGTGATGCCATTGTTTCCTGCTATGGACGAGTTGAAACCAAGCGCAGCCAATGAGAGCAGCTCAACTCGCAATATGACACCTCTGCTGGTTTCAAACGACCAACATGGCAAAGGCCATAATGCTGAACTTCAAAAGCGGTATTCCACAAACCAGTGAGTGACATCATGATTTATTTTTGATTTGGTTTACACTGGCTTACAGTCCTTGTTCTACGAGCCACAGTGTGTTTATACAGCTGATACTAAGGTGAGTATTAAGGTGCTTGTCCCAAATGACAAAGTGAGGAGATTCAAATGTTTACACTGTCCTCAATAAGTTGTGGACAAGCATGGAGATCCCCTTACAGACCTCTACCTCTGCTCACAGAGCTAGGGTTACAATGTATAACCCTCACACCTATCCATCTTGCCTCCTTTGGCTATCTTGTAGCATAAAACATCACAGCGGCTGGACTGTGGCAGTATTCTGACAGCATCACTACCATCTCCAGCCGTTTGGAGATGCCAACATGAAAAGATTTCCAGTGTAGCTTTATGTAAAGAATGAAAAACAAGTATTTGAAATGTGAAGTTCCTGTGACAAATCCATCACAGTATGAGTACGTGGAAATATCTTCTCCTACTGCTGTATAAACAATCAACTTCTCTCTGGTTAGGCAACCATAAAAAGATCAAAACTACTCCCTCAAGAGTTAGAAAATTCCATGTCTGTGGCACCTTTATAAATCCAGCACAGAGTAGAATCCTATAGTAGGCTTTTTATTATTCTACCAAGGCCAAGGGAGGAAAAGAAACAGTGGTGAAAAAGACACAAAAAACACAATGTGGTCTGTCTGGTCAAAGACTGTTTGTTCTTAGGTATTCTGGACACACACACACATATAGTTAGTTGGTCAGCAGTGGGATGAGCAGGGCAACAGGGTTATTGATTTCTGCTTGTTGTTGTTTGGACGGCTAGCCTGTCATAGCCGCTCTTCAGATGATGTCCAGATAGACTGCACATAGCAACAACAAAAGTCATTTAATCTGGAAGGGATGAGGAGCAGATTTACAGATATAAGATTCAAAGGCAACACTTTCAAAGGTTACACCTATGCTTGCAGTGTAATCAGGGGCACAGTAGTGCTTGTTGTTGAGACAGAAAGAAAATGTTTTCCAATAATCTTAGGGTGCATGGTTTTTATTTTTTCTCTGTTTCGATGCATAAAAGTTCTTCTACAATACTTGTTAAAATAATGAGGTGTATCAACAGTATACAGTTGCCTGCTGAACAGCAGAATTTTAAGCCCATTTGATGAGTTCAAAATTGTAGGTGCACTTGCTGGCCTGCAACTAAAAGGTAACTTGCCAAAAATAAAATAAGAAATCTTGATTTTGATGGATTATTTGCTGGAGGTAGTATTATATTACAGCCATTATATTTTACAGCCCTCCATCCCCCTTCCTCTGACCAAAAATAAAAAATGTCACAAATATAAAATAATTTGACTTGTAATTTCTTATCAATTTAAGCTACCCCTTCATATACAAATACAATGATTGGCAGAAAATAATGGCAAAGATCAAAGGTGCCTGCAAATGTGTGCAATGGGTTTATAAGAGAAGAGCAGGTTTCAGGCAATACCAGCAGTGGCCCCAAGCCAATTTGAGTTTGAGACTCCAGCTCTATGATTTCTTTGTAGGCTTCAAATACATTTAGAAAGCAGGTACTGGGGAACTGTCCAAGTATTATATTTGAACACCAGAATAATTTACGTGGAAGTTTAAAGGAGGTATGTGTAAGAATTGGCCATGTGTTAAATTCATACTGAGCATGTCACCAGAAAGTTTGGGAGTCCACCGTATTGTAAGAAGAAAGGAAATTCACACTTCCTGCAACATTTATTTTCCCAGGCCTGACTCAGGACATGTCTTTCTTTCAACAAATTTAACATTGTCAGTAACGTTTTACAATTAACTAACCTAGTTAGTAACTAACCTATTGCTAAATAGGCAACATTAATGTTAATGGTTTACTTACCAGTCTAGAAGAAACGTTCAACATCAAACTTCCTTAAGTACAATGTTATCTCTTGTTTTGCTTCTATTCTTTTCTTGCTGCCTAAAGTGGTTTCCTCTCATGTTGGACTGAGGGCAGACAGGACACCACAGTGACTTGAGGTACAAAGTGATATTATGAGACAGAATGGGCTGGGACAAGCTAGTTAGCATGCTAACTTCAGTAGATCTCTCTGCAACACAATACATAGTCTTTGATATAATGGCAAAACTGTTATTTATTTTTTCACAGATCAAGTCAGTGTGATAATAATAAACCTGGAATCAGTAATACAAAGATATGCATTAACAATCGCCACAGACAAGGGTGTTATGGGTAAATGGTCAAAATTGTCATAGACTGTATAATTAAAAATGGATGTAGTCTCTGAGATGTCAACTGTAGGTGTCGGCTCTGGCTGTTGCCATCTTGGCATCTCTGACCACTAAAAGCGTTTCACAAACAGAAACCAACTCACTCATACACAGATGCACAGCATCAGGATCAATTTGGGGTTCAATATCTTCAGTATCTCTCAAGGACACTCTGACATGCAGTGGGAGGAGTCATAAATCGAACCACCAACCCTCTGTTTAGTGGACGACCCGCTCTACCTCCTGAGCCACAGCCATGTGCAGAGACGCTGCAACGGGGCAGGCAACCCAGGCA